AATAATACGTCACCAAACCGTTGACCTAATTTCCCATCGTCTGTCCTCTTCTATCCAAGGCCCGGGCCGCGCGTGCAGGTTGACTATCCTTGTCCAACCACAGCAGCCATCTTGAAAACCTGTCAATCCTGTCTGATCTTGCATGCGTTGTCTTCATTAATTGAATCACAAAAAGTCACAAAAAACGCGGAATTTTAATGCGAAACGTTCCCGATTAACCAAAATTGTCCGTAAATAATGTCTAATGTTCATAATTAACGCCACGAATACCGGGGACACACGTGGAAATGCCGCGTAACACGCACATCACATTTTCGTTATTTAACAATAAATTAACACATTATTTAATCACAAAACACAACAATAGCACTCCCGAACACTTAATAAACACTATTTAACAAAAAACGCGAATAAATAAGCCGCTTTTCACCGCGTTGCGAAACTAACCACGGAGCGACCACGAAACACGTCCGCTCTCCTCGACGCGTCGAGCGGGAATCCACCCTAACCCTAACCCTAACCTAACCCTAACCCTTTTTTTGGTTATATGGAAGAGGAAATGCGTTTGCGCACGCGCGGGTTTGCCCTTGTCGCACTATTCGGCTAGAGGGGGCCCGGGCAGTGTGGGACTCATATCCCCTGAAGGGGGGCCTGGCTCCCGTTTGGTGAGGGCAAACCCAAAGAGGCAACCCAGAAGGGGCAACCTGATAGCCTCACCCTAAAGGGTGGGCTCAAATCATAGTGGTCACAGCCCAGAAGGGGCGACCCTGCGGCGCCCAGAAGGGGCATCCGCGGCCTGATATACTACCCACTAAAACCTCTCCCTCTTGACGTAGGCCGCCGGTACCCTTTCATCCGTAGAGGATATCCCAGTTGTACCGGCGATAGCCGCGACGGCGCTTTAGCTCCCAAGCTTTCATGTACGCTTTCGTCTACCCTCAATCCGCCGTGCGCTAGATACCCACAGGGGATTGAGGAGCCACGCCGCAACACCTCCGATCAAGCGGTAGGATATTTTAACCTGCACGCGTGTTGCGCAGGATTTTTCTTCAACCACGACCGGCACCGGAGCTCCTGCTCAACGGGTGATCGGGCCGTGTCTTCACCTGCCTGCCATGAGCGAGTTCAGGAAGCTTTCTCTTCGGCTACGATCAGGAACCGGGAAGTCCTTTACCCGGCTGACCGCGCCATGTCTTCGTACGCTGCAACCCTCGATGACTTGTCCCATACATACCCCAGCCACACACACACCCGCTCCCAGAAGGCATAGCATCGACCGTTCAAACAACCAAGCAGGTAAAAGGAGGCATGCAGAATGCCCATGAAGAAAGTAGGCACATAGCGTAGCCACTCCCTAGCCAGGTAAGAACGAAAGTGTAAGAAACAAGCTCAGACGACAATCCTATCGCACGAGTAAGATAATGTAGAAGTAAATTGCCATTGGCAAGAGAGCGGTAAAACAAAAAAACAAGCAGCTGTAGCAGAGGAATAGAAAGAGTAGAAAAGAAAGTTAGTTGGGGAAGTATAATAGTAAATATTAGCATATAATCAACACCCAAACCAAATTAACCACCCAACACTGCGTTGAGCTCTGCTGCATTGAGTAACAACCAAGTAAGTAAGCAATGAAGTAGACCGGTAATCAATTAAAAGGAAGGAAAACAAAGTATTCCATTAGGGCGCCTTGAGGAACAACAATTCCTGTCAAAGTATAAAGAAAATTGCTGCGCTCACTTACTTATTGACAACTGAACCATATCAAAATGGGTAGGAAAGTGCAATTATTGTCAAAGCCGAACTAAGTAGATGTAAATTTAAATATAATTATAATTTGTATATGGATTAATATATTAGTCAAGACACAGCATAATAGTGACACCTAAGTCATCTCATAACACAATGCAACAGGAAACGCAGGATCAAACTGTCCTTAAAATATATATGAAGGTAACGCAGCACAATGAAACGTACATAATATATGCATTCACATAATATATGCATTCAAACAACAAATCCATATAAACCAAACTCTACCAAATTCTAATAGATTCTAGTGAATTCCATTGAATCCATTATGTTCAGCATGCAATAAGGCCAATTAAACTACACTAAGGCATATAGACACATGTCATCACATAATAATGTAAATATGTAAATACGGCAGGTACGGTGAAATAAAACAAGCACTTGTCAAGTCGTTTAATTAATTTAACCTAATTTATTCAATATACCATATCCACCGCTAATCACCTCATTCGTTTATTCACTCAACTATAATAATATAATGGAAGGCTACCCTTCCGTATAGGGGATCACTCCGATCGGATCGTAAATGGTGTCAATCGATAGATCTCGGTTAACTGAGTCGAATGCAACAGGTTTTAATGTTAGGAGATCATCCGTTAATTAAATAAAATCAATTAAAAATAATCGCCGTCTTCGGCATAGTAGGACTACTCTTCCGTCTGTTGGAACGCTAGGCAGTAGCGGTTCCGGGGTACAAATTTAGGTCAGGTGTATGCAAAATTGGAACTTAAGACATACAATCAACTTGGACCGGAAGTCGGCTCGCAATAGAAGTGGTTAGGTTAGCCCAGATTTTATGGGGTGGGGGTGCAGGGGGAGGGCAGAGCCCCTCCCCCGCCCACTTGTTCGACAATATGATGGAATAGTGATGGATTGAAATTATTTTCTACACTTCCGGTATAATTTGATATATCTCGAAAACTACGCAGCTAATGAAAAAATATTATAGAACATAAATAGTTGCAAATTTAATTTTTTACAAAAAAGGTCTCTAAATATTTTACCATATTTCGCATAGTTTCCGAGATATAATGTGAGTACGGCTTCGGAACTTTTACGGAGTTGTTCTACTGTGCCGAAGACGGCGATTATTTTTAATTGACTTTATTTAATTAACGGGTGATCTCCTTACATTAACACCTGTTGCATTCCACTCTGTTAACCGAGATCTATCGATTGACACCATTTACGACCCGATCGGAGTATTCTGGCCCATACGGAACGGTAGGCCGGCGATTATAATTAATTGACTTTATTTAATTAACGGGTGATCTCCTAACATTAAAACCAGTTGCATTCGACTCAGTTAACCGAGATCTATCGATTGACACCATTTACGATCCGATCGGAGTGATCCCCTATACGGAAGTCTATCCAGTATAACCTAATGTAACTGAAATAACTTAAATAACTGAATATAATCCAAGATCTGATATAATAATATAGTAATATAACATATTCAATACTTTATTCAATACATAGATTGAATTGAACGGAGATAGAAGGTAATTGAATGTAATAAACATGAATATAAATATGACCATAATATAAAATAAATAATATAATATAATATATTATAATTTACACAGAACGGAGTAAATAGCACACTTTGAAACACATACACTGCAATGGAACACAATGCATCGCGGTGGAGCGCGCATTTCACCACAATCACCTTCGCACCAATTAAATTTTGATTTATACTTAAATAGAAGAATTAAATAATTAATTTAGTTATCACTTCACATCACAGATCACAGACGAGTAAATAATGCACAAATTTGCACAATGCCCGGAGAAGAGAAGAGTAAACACGCGTCACCGAAAACTATGTTACCTAAGACTGAAAACCGGGCCGAGTAAAAGAGCGAGAGCGAGACCATAAAGTATAAAACATATAGAGATAGAACCTAGTGTTCATAAAATTCCCTAGTTCACTCCATAATGGTTATCAATCGTCAATTATCCATCAAACCATCAAATTAAGTAATTAAGTAATTATAATAGAGTATATATAAGTGCTCATAAGCGAAAAGCGAAAATGCATAAACCAAACAGTTTAAACAAATCAAAATGAATCAAAATGACCAAAACCAAAGATAATGTACCTACAAAAGATGACCATAAGCCGCAAGCTATGCCTAGTTGGTAATCAACCGCAGTACCAAGGATATTACCAGCAACAAATATTCCGTTTACCAGACAGCGATACTCGGCCCGCTCACTCCGTAACGGCTATCCACAGGCAAATTATCTGCCGCGTAGTAGTCACCTACCACGCGCCAATTACAAGTTACACAGTTACCGACTGCAGAACCGTCCATCGTGCTGCCGCGCAATCCTGGGAAACCGTACCTACCATCAGACTTACCATAAAAGATAAGTCCGATATCCAATACTATTCACGGAAAGATAACTATAAACGGACAAATAAGACCCCAGACGGATTAAAATCAAAAATAAATCAATTAATAAAACCAATACCACGACTCACATAAAAGGCAATTATAAAAGCAAACGGGCAACAAATAAAACCCCAAACGGATTAAAATCAAGAATAAATCAATTAATAAAACAATACCACAGCTATCATTTATTATTTATAAATATATAAATCATACTTTTCAATAGTGTAGGATGAAGTAAATATTAAGTATAAACAATGATGAAGATAGAATGAAATGAATGAAATGAAATCAACCCGAATAAGATCCGCAGATTGCAGGACGCATTATGTTACTGCCTATCGCGCCGCAGGAAACAAACTACGCAGAACAACAAAACAAAGAAACCGCCACAGAACGAAAGGCCGAATAAATAAACGAATGAAACATTCAACCTAAACAGAATCGAAATCAAATATAACCATCTCACAACGTCAGATAACGCATATAGTCAGGAAAGTCACGTAGGACCAATCATGTAACACCCAGTCAGTTAATAAATAAATGTAACCAAAGTAGAATCAAAGCAACCAAGGCAGCAGGTAACTAGCAGAAAGGAAATATAAAAGAAAAGAAGAGAAAAGAAACAAACAAGGTAATGATTATAATAACGCATAATAAAATTTAAACAAGAGTAGCACAAGTTAATGACATGAATATTAATTCCTACAGGAACAGCACACCGTCATCAAAGAGCTATACTATTATCGAAGAGAAACGGCTTGAATAAATTGAATTAAAGAATACCAAGAAGAATATCAAAATGTCAAAATGTCCAAGGAATGTCCAAGGATAGAGGTGACAAGAAATAAAATAAAATAAATGATGGTAAACAGTGATACGTGGCACAAAAAATTAAAATATAGAAAATATATATAGAATAATTGTATGCAAACAAACCATAATTATATTAATATTAATACCATTTACAGAACTTTGTACCATCGTGAGTCAAAATAAACTAAATCTTAACAGTTACCTTGATTCAATTTAATTCAGAATGAATGAACAATGACAGCATGAAATGAACGACTGAACAATGAAATAATTAATTAAAGATATTAAGAAGAATGAGGTAAATAATAAATAATAAGCGTAAAGTAAAAGTGAAGGCCGTAACCAACCTAATGTAAATAATGTAATGTAATGCACTGTAATATAAGTAATGCAATATAATGCAAAACAGAATGCAATAATAAACTGAATACAAAATACAAAATAGAAGAAGTGAATTCAATAGATATAACCGTAAAGATTATTAACTACAATACTCTATTTCTTTACCAGAGTAGATTATAAGTTAGACTGTAACTGGTAAATGGTAGATGATAAATGGTCATGTCAATACAACTGCAAATAGAACTAATTAATGAATGACATATCAAAATAGAGTAGCTAAAGCAACAAATAAATGAATCAAATATAAAGTACGCAGTTCAATAAACACTATACCAGTGTATAAACTGAAATAAGACTAAATGAAATAAAGTAAAATAGAATAATAAATAAGTAAATAAATAAGAGTACTTGAATGATAAGATTATAATAAAATTCACGCACAATCAAAGCATTTGGATGGACAAAACCACTTATCATTGTAGAGAAAGCAAAACTTAATGAAAATAAGTAGTATAAATCATATCCATTAACTTTAATTGATCAGAATGAATGAGTGAATGAGTGAATGAATAATGAATAATGAATAATGAATGAATGGATGGAACGATTAAGGAAATTAAAGATTAAGGAAAATAAAGAAGGTAAGAAGGCGTAAGTGAAAGCAAGAAAGCAGGAATGTGTCAGAACGAATAAACAATGAGAGAATGAAAAAATGAACGACTGAACAGTGAAATAATCAATTAAAGATGTTAAAGAAGAATGAGGTACATAATGAGGTAAATAATAAATAATAAGCATAAAGTAAAAGTGAAGGCCGCAACCAACCTAATGTAAATAATGTAATGTAATGCACTGTAATATAAGTAATGCAATATACTGTAAAACAGAATGCAATAATAAACTGAATACAAAATACAAAATACGAGAAGTGAATTCAATGAAATATAACCGTAAAGATTATTAGCTACAACACTCTATTTCCTCACCAAAGTAGATTATAAACTAAATTATAAATGGTAAATGATTATGTCAATGCAAATGCAAATAGAACTGATTATTGGATGACGTATCAAAATAAAGTAGCTAAGGCAACAATGAAATCCAATGTAAAGTACGCAGTTCAATAACACTATACCAGTGTATAAACTGAAATAAGAATAAAATGAAATAAAATAAAATAAAAATAGAATAAATAAATAAATAATAAATAAGAGTACTTGGATGATAAGATTATAATAAAATTCACGCACAATCAAAACATTTGGACGGACAAAACCACTTATCATTGTAGAGAGAGCAAAACTTAATTAAAATAAAGTAAAATAAAGTAATATAAATCATATCCATTAACTTAATTGATCAGAATGAATGAATGAATAATGAATAATGAATAAATAATAAATGAATGAATGGAACGATTAAGGAAATTAAAGATTAAGGAAAATAAAGAAGGTAGAAGGCGTGAGTGAGAGCAAAAAGCAGTACTATGTCAGAACGAATAAACAATGAGAGAATGAATGAATGACTGAACAGTGAAATAATCAATTAAAGATAATAAAGAAAAATGGGTAACTAACAAGATAGATAATAAGGCATAAAATATAAAATGAAGGCTATAATCAACATAATGTAAATAATGTAATGTAATATAATGTAAAACAAAATGAAATATACTAAAATAGAATACAAAGTACCAGAAGTGAACTCAATGAAATATAACCGTAAAGATTATTAGCTACGACACTCTGTTTCCTCACCAAAGTAGGTTATAAACCAAATTATAAATGGTAAATGATTATGTCAATGCAAATGCAAATAGAACTGATTATTGGATGATGTATCAAAATAAAATAGCTAAAGCAACAATGAAATGAAATGTAAAGTACGTAGTTCAATACACACTATACCAGTGTATAAACTGAAATAAGAATAAAATGAAATAAAATAAAATAGAATAAATAAATAAGTATATAATAAATAAGAGTACTTGAATGATAAGATTATAATAAAATTCACGCACAATCAAAGCATTTGGATGGACAAAACCACCTATCATTGTAGAGAGAGCAAAACTAATTAAAATAAAGTAAAATAAGGTAAAATAAATCATATCCATTAACTTTAATTGATCAGAATGAATGAGTGAAAGAATAATGAATAATGAATAATGAATGAATGAATGGAACGATTAAGGAAATTAAAGATTAAGGAAGATAAAGAAGGTAAATAAAGAAGATATGAAAATAAAGGAAATAAAGAAGGTAAGAAGGCGTGAGTGAGAGCAAAAAGCAGGAATGTGTCAGAACGCATAAACAATGAGAGAATGAGAGAATGAATGACTGAACAGTGAAATAATCAATTAAAGATAATAAAGAAGAATGAGGTAAATAACAAGATAAATAATAAGGCATAAAATATAAAGTGAAGGCTGTAATCAACATAATGTAAATAATGTCATATAATGCGATGTAATGTAATGTAAAACAAAATGAAATATACTAAAAATAAATACAAAATACAAGAAGTGAATTCAGTGAAATATAACCGTAAAGATTATTAGCTACAACACTCTATTTCCTCACCGAGTAGATTATAAACTAAATTATAAATGGTAAATGGTAAATGATAAATGATTATGTCAATGCAAATGCAAATAGAGCTGGTTATTGAATGACGTATCAAAATAAAGTAACTAAAGTGACCAAGAAATCAAATCAAATCAAATGTAAACTGCGTAGTTCGATAAACACCATACCAGTGTATAGACTAACAATAAATAAATAAATAAGTAAATAAGTAAATAAGGATACTTAAATGATAAGATTATAACAAACCCTGCACCATCAAAGCATTTGAATGGACAAAACCACTCATCATCATAGAAATAAAAACTAAAGTAAAATAAATCATATCATATCCATTAATTTAACTTTAATTGATCAGAATGAATGAATGAATGAATGAGTTAATGCATAATGACTGAATGAATGGGAAGATTAAGGAAATGCAAGATTTAGAAAAATAAAGAAGGTAAGGAAGGTAACGTGAGTGAAAGAAGGCGTGAATGAAAGCAAGAAAGGGTGAATGTAATACAATATTATAAGTAAGTAAGTAAAGGAAAGGAAAGTAAATGAGCACCCACCACGCAACAAATAAACTACACAAAACTATTTACACCAAAAGCACAAAAGCAATCCCTCATCACACCATATCATTAAAACAAACACACTAAACCTGAAATAAACTAAAACAAAACAAAACAAAACAAAACTGGAACTGGAACAAGAGGAACAATTAAAAACACAACCCGGATTGTCCAATTTATTTATTTATTAATCAATTCAATTTATTTCAGCACATGTCACTGCTGCATCGTCCAAAATGAAATGTAAGCCACGATATAAGAAAGAAATAAAGGAATAAATACGATGAATACTATGAATGAGATAATCGAATATCAAAATCGAAAGAACAAGAAAAGTAAACCACGTAACCACGTAACCAATAAACACGTTAAACACGTTGCACCACGGATATGAATCGATGAAAATGACAAATATAATAAAATAAAATAAATAAACCAAACAATAAGCCGAACAACCGGATGACAAGCGGACTACGTATTGAATCACAAAATAAAGGAAATAAATAAATGCAATACCCGTAATGACGCGAAAGATATTAAATAACATGAACCATGAGATATGAAATATGAATGTAGATGGTAAATAAAATAAATAAAATAGAATACGATGGGTAAGAAATAATAAGACGAGACAGCAATGTAAACCGCGTAAACCATTAACACATGAAAAAGCGATATTAATATATATAGAACCAAATAGAACGGTAAATACGATAAGACGATAAATAAATTGAACAATTAAATCACGCAGAGGGACGTAAATTGCGCAGGTTTATTAATCACACAATTATACCGTTGCGAATAAATAAATAAATAAAAGACAACAATGAGATAAAATAAAATTACGGTTGTAACGTGAAACGTTATCACGTGAATATGTTTAGAGTGGGTGGCGACACTGCCATGAGAATATTTATCGATAGTCTATTGTATCGATATGTCTTGAATGTTCTTCGAGGACCTTTGTATCGCTGGTCATAAATTAAGAGCGAAATTCGAACATCGTCTAAGCATACCCTTATATAAAAACAAAGAGTAAATTGTAAACCCCTCGACGTGGGTGATAGAGCTGAGAGAAGGCCGGAAGTCCAGAGAATGGAATAGTTTCACTTGGAAAATTCCTAAAAAACTAATTTATGATAGACCATAGCTAATTCGTTGTTTTTGACCAAGTCACGAACGGTCCTTAAGGGTTACGAAGTCTTTTTCGATATCCTGTCTTTTCATGCACTCTAAGAGGGTCGTAAATTTCCTCAAGAGTTGCTTTGGCAAGTACAAGGTCTTGTCGTTTCCTAATTTCTCTGGGTCCCACGCTTTCTCTTAGCACATGTGCGCTGCAACGTTCTAGCGTCTTGGCGGAGCGCCTCCACTTCCACGCGCTTGAGGGTGGACCACAGCCAGCCAGGAAAGGGGCCCATACGAGACGGGGTGACTCCTCCACCATTGGACGAGGGATGATCCTGAGGGAGGATCCAGGATCCACCAAGGAAGGGGCATCGACCGACAACGCGCGAAGATCTCCTCCGCCAAGCGCAGAATTGTCAGAATGATTTTTGTTACTTGTTACGAACAAGTCGTTCTCACTCAGAAGGGTCTAAGCCTTAACAACGCAACTTTAAAGTTCTGATTTAATTTGAATTTAAAATATTAAAGTACTAAAAACAATAATAACAGTTTACTATTTTGTATATCCGCGCCTTGAGAGCGGAGCGCCTCTGCGCTCCACGGACTGTCACACCTGCACCTAAATCCCCGAATATCCCTATTTTCCGCGATCGGACACGCAACACGGTAATAAAATAAATAAGACAAATAATGAATGTAACGCAAGTTGCATAAATTATCAAGGCACACTACCCCACTGTACTATAATAAATAAATAAAATAAATAAATGAAACAAATAACACAGAATAACACAAAATAGTGTTAAATATCAATATGTAAGTAAAACAGCGA